TGTGTGCGTGTGTGCGTGTGTGCGTGTGTGCGCGTGTGCGCGTGTGCGCGTGTGCGCGTGTGTGCGTGTGCGCGTGTGCGCGTGCGCGTGTGCGTGTGCGTGTGCGTGTGCGTGTGCGTGCGTGCGTGCGTGCGTGCGTGCGTGCCTGCGTGCGTGCGTGCGTGCGTGCGTGCGTGCGTGTGTGTGTGTGTGGGTGGGTGGGTGTGTGTGTGTGTTCGGTGCTTTCGGTGCCTTGTCGCTGCGGGGCTTCCACACCTCGCCACAAACGTGCGCAAGGGCCCTCGAGCGGCGTCCGCCTGCCGAGCCGCTCTCGGGAAGGCGGTCTTTACCCCCGCCGAACCGTGAGAAACGGTCCTGCCCACCCAAGCTTCCGTGCTGAGACTGCGCCCTCAAGCACCCCGAGACGGACGGAGGCCCTCCATGACCTCATCCAGCCCCAAGCCCCGCGGGCGGGCCCTTTAAGCTCCTACCTCGAGGGGGGGAACCGAGAGCCCTGACCGCAGATCAGAAGCGTAACGCGCCTCCCGAAAACGGACGCACCGAATGGTAACAGCGACGACGCACGCAGGCAGGGCTCAGATCATCATGGGGCCATCCGCGCAGCTGGCACTCTTGCTGCATAGCCCTCCACGGTTCGCTGCACGGCCTCGTGCCGCTGCTCGAAGAGGGCCATATTGCTATCGAAGTGGGCCGCGGCCTGACGACGCTGGCCCACGGCTGCCCTAAGGCGCGCCTTGGCCTCGTCGACGGCGCCCGCCGCCCCGTTGCGCAGAGCCACGGTTAGCTCGTGCGCTCGGAGGGTACACAGCTTAGACAGCTCATCCATGTGGCTGACATGGGTCCGCCGCCGGGCCTCGATCGACTCCTCAATCTGGGCGAGGATCGGGGAGAGAACGAAGACGTCGTCGTTCGCCACCTCCTCGCCCGCTTGCCGCTGCTGGCGCCGCCTACGCCGCCGGGTGGAGGGCGCGAGGGGCTGGGTGGCGGACTCCACGTCGCCGCCGTCATGCCCCTGGGATCCGCCACCGCCGTCGTGCCCCAAGGAGCCACGAGCCTCGGGGTCCCCGCTCCCCCCCTCGCCCTCCATGCCCAATGCACCGCAGTCGCCGGAATGCTCGTCGAGGAGGCCCCCGATCTCCTTCTCGTCCACGCCCGTGCTGCTGAGGCGGCCCTTCATCACGGGATCCTCGCGCACCTTCGCGCTCACCTCGTCGACGTCTTGCTTCCACCAGCGAGGGCCCAAAGCGAAGGGCGGCGGCACCGCGGACTCGGCGAGACGCACCGCCTGCGCGAGGTCGATGCGCCACCCTCGGGAGGGTCGCCCCTGCGGGTGCACGAGGTGCCAGTCTGCGCTGCTGGCACGCGCCCGCGTCCGAGGCGCAGCTGCACCCTTGCCACCGGCTGCCGCCCACACGCTCGCCGCCCTCTGCGGCGCTCGGCGGCTCCGCGCGACCTCAGTCTCGGCGAAGGTCTGGCAGCGCATCACGCCCTCGAAGAGGGGGTGGGGGCCACCTCGACGGGACCCTCGGTCGCACTTCGGCGCCGCGCACGCCCTGGCAGCCGTCGCGCATGGCCGTGCCCACCTCCGGGATGCCCAGGCTGGCGCCGTCGAGGGGGCGGTCGCCCTCCTTGTCGCTCACCTGACCCTCGGGGCCGTCGATGACCTGGTCGGTGCCCTCGCACTCGTCCATGTATGGCTCCCCGATGTCCAGGCTGGTATTGCCCTCCAGGTTGGCGCCGTCGGCGTGGTCCTCGAAGGGGTGCTCGACGTCCGCCTCCTCCTCGTCCACCGCAGCGCTCGGCCCCAGGAGCGGGGAGGGCGGGGTGTGGCCCAGCGCTACGCCGTCGGAGGAGCTCAGGGCCTCCGTCGCGCCCAGGGCCGCCGCCACGGGCCTCGCGGGCGGGGGCGAAAGCGCGTTGCCGACGTCAGCCTTCTCAGGGTCCGGCGGCGCCGGCACGCGGGGCCCGCAGCGCTCGCAGCGCTGGGCCCGCTGTGGCTGCGCCAGGGCCTGCCGCAAGGCCTCGACGCCCTTGCCGAGGTCGACGTGCGCCCCGACGTTGCGCCTGGCGCGAGCGGCGCCGCCTGGCTGGGCGCCCCGCAGCTGCTGGCGCATGGCGGGCTCCATGGCCTGCCAGCGCAGCGCGAGCTTGGCGTCTTCCTCGGAGCCGCACCTGCCAGCAGCGCCCATGCCGTGCCCAGCGCGGCAGCAACCGCGGCGGCGATCGCCTGCCGCGAGGCGCCGCCCGCCGCAGCTCCCTGAGCAGCGCCCTGGACGGCCATCGCCATGACCAGCCCCGCGCCGCCTTTGGACCGTAGATCCATCGCGTTGCTGCCGTCGCGCACCGCCGCCATCACAGGGGCCGCGACAAGGAGGGGGAAAGGGACAGAGCCGCTCTCTGTGCCCGCCGAAGCGACGGGACTCCACAGGACACGCAGCGCACCTCCCGCCCAATGCAAGCTTGAGCCAAAATGACTACGGGTGCGTGCGTGTCGTGTGTTGTGTTGTGTTGTGTTGTGTTGTGTTGTGTTGTGTTGTGTTGTGTTGTGTTGTGTTGTGTTGTGTTGTGATGTGTTGTGTTGTGTTGTGTTGTGTTGTGTGTGTGCGTGTGTGTGTGTGCGTGCGTGCGTGCGTGCGTGCGTGCGTGTGTGTGTGTGTGCCTGTGAATGTTTGTGCGCGTGTGTGTGCGTGCGTATGTGTGTGTGTGGGTATGCGTGTGTGTGGTTCCCCCCCTGGCGCTCCTCTGCCGCAGCCGGTGACTTGCCTGAGCGGGCCCGGCTTCCTCTCTTCCTGTCGCGCCAGGGCTACTCCTCTTCCTCCGTGCATGGCGGTTTCAATTTGGATGCAGCGTGTCCCCTGTTGCCAATCTGCCGGAGCAGTCACCGTCTGCCCAGCCGCCGACGCAACAAGTGTGTGTGTGTGTATGTGTGGATGCGTGTGTGTGTGTGTGTGTTTGTGTGTGTATGTGTGTGTGTGTGCGCGTGTGTGCGTGCGTGCATGCGTGCGCGTGGGTGGGTGGGTGGGTGGGTGGATGACTTAATTAGTGTGTGCGTGTGTGTGTGCGCGTGTGTGCGCGTGTGTGCGCGTGTGTGCGTCCGTGTGTGTGTGTGTGGGTGTGTGTGTGTGTGTGCGTGCGTGCGTGCGTGCGTGGGCCGAAAACTTGACTGGCGCTGATGGTGATGATGATGATGCTGATGATGCTGCTGCTGGTGCTGCTGCTGCTGCTGCTGCTGATGATGATGATGATGATGATGATGATGATGATGATGATGATGATGATAATGACAACGATGGTGAGGGTATTGACGATGAGTATGGTGCTGGTGGCGATGCTACTGCCGAGATTGAGGATGACGATCGGTAGGTATGGGGCTGATGAACAATGATAAGGATGAGGGGGAGAAAGAGGAAAGAGGGGGAGAGCCAGGGGAGGAGGAGGAAGGAGGCGCTTACAGGGGTAAACCACGAGTACATAGACGTTTACCAGTAAAGTCGCATCGACAGCAGACAAACTAAACAAGACAACGTCGACACATGTGGAAGCTCGGGGTGCCCTCCTCGGTTCAGAAAGTCAAGGCTCATAGGAGTGTCCATGAGGCCACGTCTGTAGAGGACTCTTGGAAACTTCGGGGTAACCAGCAGGCTGACCGTTGGGCCAAAGCTGGGACCTGTCTGAGCGAGGATCCTGAAGAGAATAACATGTTTATAGAGGGTGGGGCAGAAGATGTGACTCTGTGGCTTGGCATGCCCCACGAGTGGCTGCACGAGGCCGACTCCAGGACTCGGACGGAGTCGGAGGTACAGCCAATGTGGGGTTGGATCTTGACTGTGACACTTCGCAGCAGGAGCCCGAGGAGTCACTCGCGTGGAAGAAGCCCTACGAATGCAGAGGTGCCCCGAGGCCGCGCATTGCCCTCCCGCCCGAGCCATACCCTGAAGGAGTGGACCACGGCTCCCCCGGCGGGCCCCCCCTGCCGCTCCCCGCGCGGACCCCCTGCTGCTGGGAGCGTTGGCCGCCTCAAGCCCTGGCTGTCGTCGTCGTCGTCGTCGTCGTTGTCGTCGTCGTCGTCGTCGTCGTCGTCGATCAGTGGCACGAGACCGTTCGAGCGTCTGTGCATGGACTCGGCCATGAACCGCCAGTTTTGTGCTGCACTGGTTGTGGCGCCAGCGTGCAGAAGAACTCCATGTCTGGGTCAGGCATGTCTGCGGCTTGTAAAAGGGAATGCCCATGCAGGTCTGGCCACTCAGAGGGGCAAGCTTCGGAGAGGCCTGCATCCCAATGCGACGCAATCCCCACCCACCAAGCTTGAGTCGGTGGCTACTCCGTCGTCGGACGTTCGAGCCCTGTGGGTGGGAAGCTGCGTACGTCTTCTGGCTCGGGTCCCGAGGCTGAGGGAGCTTCCTACGGGGTCGAGGTTCCCGACCTCCTGGATATGTATTGGGTCGCTGCGGTGCATGGCTTCCTGGATCCGAGGGACGCGGTGCCTTGGTGCCGCTTGGAGCGTAGCACGGAGGCCAATCTCGACCAGACCCACAGGGACTTGGGGCTCCCCGTCACTTGAACTAATTAGAGTCTCTCAGTTTCGCTGGACGCGAGGAAGCCTTGCTCCATGGTTTACCTCAGCATATTTCAGCATCTCCCTCCTCTCCCGCCTCCGCCTTCGCCTCCCCCGTCCACATCCGCCCTCATTTCCTCCTCCTCCTCCTTTCCCGCCCGTCCACTCCTCCTCCTCCTCCTCCTCCTCCTTTCCCGCTCGTCCACTCCTCCTCCTCCTCCTCCTCCTCCTCCTCCTCCTCCTCCTCCTCCTCCTCCTCCGCTCCCTCCGCCTCCTCCCCTTGACCCATCCCCTCCTCCTCCTCGTCCTCCTCCTCGTCCTCCTCCTCCTCCTCCTCCTCCTCCTCCTCCTCCTCCTCCGTCCCCATCCGCCCTCCTCTCCTCCGCCTCCCTCTTCCCATCCTCCTCCTCCTCCTCCGCCTCATCCTCCTCATCATCCTCCTGCTCCTCCGATCCCTCCTACTTTCCCACACACACACACCTCTCCTCCTTCTCCCCTCCTCTCCCTCCTCTCCCTCCTCCTCCTACTCCTCCTCCTACTCCTCCTCCTACTCCTCCTCCGACTCCTCCTCCGACTCCTCCTCCTACTCCTCCTACTCCTCCTCCTACTCCTCCTCCTCCTCCTCGCACTCATCCTCCTCGCACTCATCTACAGAGAAAGTTATTTCAAGTGCAAGGCACGCTTGCGCACACACACGCGTGCTTAGCAGTCTGCCCTCCCCCCACTTGCAAGATAAGCAACGAAAGAAAGATGGGATGAAGGAACGAATACGCGCTCTCGATGATGCTCTTCTTCCCCACTGGCAGGACCAAATGATCTGTAAGCGTCCTCTGCTGCTGGCGTATCCCGTCGGCGTCTGCACCGAATTTGCGCGCTCGAGCCCCGACGCCAATGGAACATGCAACGTGAACGTCTGCTTCCGGCAATCCAACGGAGCTCCAAGAGCTCCCCCGTATCCCTCATCCTCGCCCTCCTCCTCGCACTCCTCCTCGCCCTCCTCCTCGTACGTACCCCCCCACCCCACCCCACGCCCCCGCGGCCAGAGCGTCGCGATACAGCCCCTTCCACGGCCCGCCCGCCGCGCCGCCGCGCCCCGCGGAAGCGCAGAGCCTCGGGGATCCCCCCCCGCCGGCGCGCGGCGCGGCACGGCGACGACGAGTGAACGACGACGACGACGACGACGACGACGTCGTCGATGACAACGACGACGACGGCGACAACGACGACGGCGACGGCGACGTCATCGGCGACGACGAACGAACGAACGGCGACGAACGAACGACGAGGACGCCGACGGCGAGGACGAACGACGAGGACGAACGACGAGGACGAACGACGACGACAACGACGACCACTACGACGAAGACGGCGACGACGACAACGACGGCGGCCGACCACGACGACGAATGATGAAGACGAACGACAATCGACGACAGACGAACTACGATGACGACGACGAACGACGAACAACGAAAGACGTCGTCGATGACGATGACAACGACGACGACGACAACGACGACGACGACGACAACGACGACGACGACGACGACGACGGTCTGGGGCTGAAGGGTGAGCTTGGGCCAGGGTGACTACACGTAGGAGTGTCCTTCCAGAAGCTGCGCCCTGCCGAGAGCGACCTGTGGGTGCCCGAACTGTCCCAAACGGCCGCTGAGGCCCGACAAGCGAGCGGCCCTTCGCTGGAGTGACCTCTGCTGCGCGGCCTCAGGGGGGCCAAGGGGAGGAGGTTAAACCCGAGCGCGCAAACCGCTGCTGTCGCATCGCTCTCGGCGATCTGGGGACCCCAGTTGGCCCGCACCAAAGCCGACGACGACGTTGACGGGGAGGATCGAGGATCAACCCTCGGGAGGCCTCTGAAACCGCTGGAGAAACCTCCAGACGCTTCCAGAGACCTCCAGGGACCTAAAGAGACCGACGACCACGACGTCTTCATTTCGAAGGCCGTAAGGGGACATGCCAATCTCGACGACCCTTCAGGATTAACGTTCAGGAACAAGATGTTTCTTTGATTTTGGGCCCCCGTGGTTGTCAAAAACCAATATGGGGTGAAGAAGCGCACAGGATTGACCCCCGGAGGCTTCCAGCAATTGACGTTGAACAGATTCGGGAGTCAAGCGGAGACGGAGGCAGAAATCCTACGGGTGCCAATCGTCACCTTCTCTTGTTTTCGCCTTGTTGACACTTCCTGATGGGCCCTCGACCGCCGCGGCTGGATTCGCTCCTCCAGCATGGCGAGAAGGCACCCCAGAGATGTCCCGGGAGCGTGGCAAGAATGGCCCACCAAATATCAGGGGGACGTAAGACCTGGGTACAGGAGACTCGGAAATCCCCGACGAGGTCGTCAACAAAAATGACGAGGCCGAGCCTGCACTTTGACGAGGCCTCCCGCCGCAGACATCCCACGAAACTCCTCCTCGTCAAAATCCGAGGCGCGGTCGTCAAAAAACGATGGCGAACCCGAAACCCGGTGATTTCCGCATGATATTGCTTGATATTCGGCGCGATCCGATTCAATTGAATTGCAACCGTCTTTTTGATTGTACGAACCGTAAGTTTACTCCACGAACGCTCCCACGAAAGCATTCCCAGAGCTGCCTCCTCATATGATACTCGCCCCCCCCCCCCCCCCTCGATCCGAGTCCTGGCAAACCCGGGTCTTGCGCCCCCCCGAAAGTAGGACGCGAAGGGGCTCTTCCGGCCACGGCGCGCCCCCCCGCCACGAGCAGGCAGGCTCCCGGACCAAACTCTCGGGAGCGGCCCGAAAAAGCCCGAGACCTCAGCCCAAAGTTTTTTTTGTTTGTTAAAGACCTCAGCCCAGAGTGGCCCCCTGCTTCAGCGTCATAGCTGAGTCTCCTTTGGTGGGCTTGTTTTCCCCCACCACCACCATAAGTTGGAGGGCGAGGGGGTCCTCCTCCTCCTCCTCCTCCTCCTCCTCCTCCTCCTCTTCGTCCTCCTCCTCCTCCTAGTCCTCCACCTCCTTCCCCCCTACAACTTATGGTGGTGGTGGTGGAAAACAGGCCCATCATCCTTCGTCCCCCAAGACTCGGACGCCCGAATCCGGTGCGAACACATGGTACGGCTCCCAATCGCAGATGCAGTCCCAGACCGACGGCGACCGCTGTTGGGCAGGCAGCGTTCTGTCTCCAATGGACACAATGCCCGCGGCGGCACTGACAGCGAACTCTGCTCAAAAATTAGTAGGAACTGCTGCAAAACTTCCTCCCCTGTCTTCCTGGCGAAACCAAAGGGTACCGGTTCCGCTACTCCCTGGACCTCTCCCGGGATGCGTTCCGACCAGGATTTCGAGGCGAATCCAGCGGTGGCGACGAGGGCCGCCCAGGAGGCCCGAAAAAGGGGAGAAGAGGGAAGGCCGCCAGGACTGCGAAGCAGGCATGTAGTAACCAGAGTCGTAGTTAGCAGTGGATGGTGAGGGGAAGCATCAACGCGGCGGGCACCCGAACAGTAAGCCTTTTGGCCCGTGGGCTGCCTCGCGCGGCGTGCGTCGCAGCCACCATACTTTTAGCCTCGATCCTGAGAAAAGCCATGCATTTGAGGGAAAGGTAGCGGGGCACCTGCTCCTCCTCTTGATGAGCGTGTTTTCCACCACCGCCACCATAAGTTGGAGGGGGGGTCCTCCTCCTCCTCCTCCTCCTCCTCCTCCTCCTCCTCCTCCTCCTCCTCCTCCTCCTCCTCCTCTCCTCCTCCTCCCCCTTCGCCCCATCCAACTTATGGTGGTGGTGGTGGAAAACGCGCTCATCACCTCTGAAGCCATCGGTCGCCCCGGGAGGTGCGTTCGTGTCCGGGCCAGGTGATCCGCCACTGCAGCCTCGGGAGCAGCGCGAGGCGGAGCAGAAGCGGAACGGTGCCGCCCCCGGCGGGCTCCAGAGCTGGAGCCACGCCAGGCGGGAGGTCTCGGGCGCCGAGGCTGCACGCGTGGCGCCTCGATGGAATAGAAGGAACACCACGGGTTTGGACGTCTCGGCCTCCTTCCTCCTCCTCCTCCTCTCCTCCTCCTCCTCCCCCCTCCTCCTCCTCCTCCTCCTCCTCCCCCTCCTCCTCCTCCTCCTCCTCCTCCTCCTCCTCCTCCTCCTGCTTGCCGCGCCGTTCCCGCTTGTGGTGCATATGGCCCCCGGGCGCACGGGTGCAGTTGTCACTGGGAGCCGAGTGCAATGGTCGGGCTCGTAGGCTACTTTCGCCAGCGCTCATGCCCACTCATCGCTTGGTGTATGGATGGTCAGCCAGTCAGTCAGTCGGCCAATCAGCCAGTCAGTCAATCCGTCAGTCAATCAGTCAGTCAGTCAGGCCAAGTCTTCGCGCCTCATGGGGCCTCCTCGCATCCACGGCACGGCTTCCCTTCGTCGAGGCTCTGGCCACAACGCGCCTTTCGGGAGAGGTCCCCAGGTCGCCGATCCTGACCGCAACGCCGAACAGATCCTCACCCTACTCGGGCGTTGCTCGAAGAGGGGGGCAGTAAGCGGGGGGTGACGAAAGGTGCACCGATCGTTCACCTTCTGGGCCCTAAGAGGGCTCCATCCAGGGCCCCTTTCGGGAGCCTTGACCTGCAACCCTCGATCGTGCACCCTGCTTGCACTTTCGGGGCCAAAAAGGCGTCCTGTCAGGGCCCCTTCAAAACTCCTTTCCTGCGGCCCTCTATCCCCCCCCGCACCCCCATTTATCGACGAGGGGGAAAGCGAAAAGAGAGAGCGAGGAGGGCGAGGAGGGGAAGGACGAGGAGGGGAAGGACGAGGGAGAGGGCGAGGAGGGGTGCACGAGGAGGAAGGAGAGCGAGGAGGAGGGCGAGGAGGGGAAGGGCGAGGAGGGGAGGACAAGCTAGGTGCGCAAGCGTCTTATCTGACGTCCAACCCCTCCCTCCCATCCCTTACCATGGCGTAAATATCCTCTCTATTCGCGCGGTCGGATGTCTCGTAGCGTGGCAGATCATTACATGGCAGACCATGGCGTTGAAGATCAACGCGTAGCATGGCGTGGCACTGCGTAGTCAAGCGCTATATAATTATCAGAGCATTGCAGCTAGGGGTGGCATCGCGCAGCGGAACCCACCATAGCATTGCATCGTATGCCATGGCATGGCACTGGAAATGAAGCCAGCGCTGCAGCGGGAGCACAATTCGGAACGAGGGGAAGCCCGGAAATGAGGCCAGCGCTGCAGCGGGAGCATGACTCGGAACGAGCGGAAGCCCGGAAATGAGGCCAGCGCTGCTGCGGGAGCACGATTCGGAACGAGCGGAAGCGCGACAATGAGGCCTGCGCTGCACCGGGAACAACGTGTTGAAGGACCGACAAGAATGGGCTCGACAAAAACACCGCCGAAAATCAAACTCCCGGCAATCCTGTGGAAAAGACAATACGCAGAGGGGTGCCTGCCATCTTCTCCACAGACTGAGGGAGAGGGGAGAGTAGTATTCATATTGTGTACTTGTCGAACAATTTTTGCCAGCCGAGAGCGTTTGGGGGGGGAGCGGGTGCAGCATGAAAGGTCCTCTGCAGTTACGCTGCCTCGCCCTTGGGCCTTGGGGTAGCCAAAAGATCCGATACCACTGGGGTTCGCTCCGACCAGACTCTCGTGGCGAGCCCCGCCGTGGCGAAAAAGGCGAAGACGAGGCCCAGGGGTGGCCCCAAACTTTTTTACGTCCGCGGGCACCAGGGTGTGCGAGACGGCCAGGCGCCGGTCACAGCGAGCGGCACCGGAAGCTAACACAGGCACGAAGCGGAAGAGCAAGAGGCGAGGCGAAAAGACGAAGACGGAACCCGTACAGACCATACAGGTCGGCGCGGGAGGGTGGCCCCAGACATGCGATGTCTTGACTTTGTCCTAACGCGGCCCCCAGCCCCGACACGTCCCCCAGGGCTGGCTTTGCATCCCGAGTCGCTGATTGGCGGCCCCGCGGTCCGGCGAGGGCCCCCAAAGACCGAACATGATGGAAAACCTCCCCTGAGATCCAACGGCACGAAAAGTTTGAACATTGTGACAAATCGCGACCAAAGCTCTAGACCCAATCTTTCTGCGCCGGTTTTCGAGCCAGATCGAGCTCTGAGGGCCCCAAGGTCCGCTTTGAGGGTCCCAGAACTAATCTTTCAAGGCTCTGCATGTCCAGGGCTGCATCGGTGCCTGTTGCTCCTCCGAGCCCTGCTGCTGATGGGCAACGTTTGGGGAGGGCCAGCTCAGGGGGGAAAACATCGGGATGGAATCGGCGATACATCGCCGATAGATCGGCGATAGTCCCCTGACAGCCGAGCTGCACGTTCATGAGAGGTTTCAGCTATCGGGCCCCTGTCGGCGATCAATGGACGATTGGTGATCGACTCGCCCCCCCCCTGAGCTGACCCCCTGGTAGTTTTCGGGTCATAACTTGGGCCTCCGGCGGCGGTTCGGGAAGATCTGGGCACCCTCGGAACCCTCTGGGCGGGGCGCAGCTGCCAGAGAGCATCCCGAGGCTGGAAGGCCGCGGGGAACCGACGGACGTGCGCGCAAGCCCTCGAGCCTCCAACAGACAACCCTCGAGGGCCCCCGCCCCCCCGGCGTCGCCCCCGAGCTGCGCGCAGCGGCCGAGCGGCCGCCGCTGGGCGCGCGGCCCCCGCAGCGCGCCCCGCGCCCGCTCCAGTAGCAGCGCTCGCGCCTCCGCCGCGCCGCGGCGGGCGCCCGCAGCGGCGAGCGGCCCGGCCGCGCCCTGCCGCGGCGAGGGGCGGGCGCTGGCACGAGGAGCGCCAAGTCCGCCGACCCGGTCGGCGTGTGGAAGGCGCTGCATGGGGAGCAGAGTGGAGGAGTGTGAGGAGGGGATGGAGGAGGGATTGTTTAGGCGCTTCTCTGTGGTTTCGGATGCGGTGGGCAGTTGTCACATGTTTCTGGTGCTCCCGAAATCCGCCGTCCCCGTCGGCGTGTGGAAGACGCTGCTCTGTCTGACTCGTCGTCGCCATCGCCGCCGTCGAAATCCGCATCGTCGTCGTCGTCATTCTGTTTGACTCGCCATCGTCGTCGTCGTCGTCGTCGTTGTCGTCGTCGTCACAGTCACTGGGTCCTCTTCCTCCAGCGCGCCAGCCACACAAAACCGAACCGAAACCTCAAGCGCGCCCGTCACCGTGCCTCTGGGCACGGAGTGGGCGTGTCCTCAGGTCCTTGCCCGAATCCTCTACGCCCCCCCGAGAGCGCTCCGAACAGACCCCAAGAAGGAACGGGGGAGCTTTCCTGGCCGCGGCCAGCTTCGGCTACGAACAGGTTCCCCGACCCAGGTCGAATGAACGGCCCGACAAATGGGGGCCCTCATGGGCTCAAAGTGGCCATTATTCCCAAATCAGTGTTTGCACCGATGGGGTCCTAGCGGAAGTTGAAAGATTTGGCGAACGTTTCCCGCCGATTTTGGTAGCAAGCTGGGTTCCCAAGTTCCCGGGTTCCCAGTTATTGGTTCCAGGCCGATTTCGGAGGGTTCTGGGTTCCCGGGCTCCCAGGATCCCAGTCGATCTCCTCAGCGGAAACCATCCACTGATTGGGTTTTTCTCTGGTGTAAAATCACCGTCTTGACTGTAGGTGGCGACATCCGAACCTTACCCCTTTGGTGGCAGACATGGGAGCCTTGAATACCCTCGTAACTCCTAGTCTTTAGAATCCATTAGTGCACGCTAGCATCTGGTAATCGATGATCGCTGGATCAGCGCGGACTGACGTCGATTCGCGTCGAGTTAGCGTCGACTAGCGTAGACGAGCCACGATTCGCAAGCGCCGACAAGATGGTACCGGCGGGGCCGTTATTTTGCCGTTTCAAAATCTGTCTTCTTGATCGTAAAAGCGGCAGAACAAAAAAACGGTTCGCCGAAACAGTTGACAGAAAACTCTTCACCGAAATAACATGGGTGTTAACAAACGGCAGCGGTAAGTGAGCAGGGAACAACAGTCCCCTGCATTCTTGGAGGTCTGCGGCGACATTCTTTCAAACAAAATAGTATCCTGGAAAGAAAAAGCAATGCCCAGAACAAAAACCAAGTTGATTGAAGCAGAACTGCCTCCTCCAGAAATCCTTTGAGAACGTCGAACACTCTCTGGCCGGGCCATCGGCAAGTCAGGACGCCTCGCCAGTGCTTGGGGTAGCGCAACAACGGCCCTGTCGCTTCCAGGGCCCGCAGAGGGCAGGCAGAAGGGAGGCTTGCGGAGAGCGCGCAATGCGGCACCCGAGACTGCAGGCCGCCAGCCGGCTGGGCCCCGGGAGGGCGGCTGCGGCAGCGCCCCGCGCCGACAGACGAGCCTGGCGCCCAAGAGCCCGCCGCTCGGCTTTGCCGCGCAGCTCGAGTTGGTTCCAAGAAAAACTCGCGTCTTGAAACAAGAGGAGGAGGAGGAGGAGGAGGAGGAGGAGGAGGAGGAGGAGGAGGACGGGAGGTTTTTTGCCATTTGGGGGTTCCCTGGGGCCCTTACCGGGCCCCGGGACCAAAAACCAGTCTGGGGGAAGGGGTCGGGACTTCTGGGGACTCGGTACTGGACATCGCACGTCAAGGCTTGGCTTGGACCGCAAGATGGACCCGGAAGTCGACCAGACGGCCCCAAGAAGATCGTTCTGCCGAGCCTCCTCGGGAGAGCTCGACAGAATCAAAGACGGCCCCAAGACCCCCAGTTGGGAGGCCCTCCAGAGGCCCCCACGAGACACTGCCGCAAGAGATCAAGCGGCGGTGGGGCCACGGTGGGGCGCACCAGCCAGCAGATTGTGGCACGGGAGGCCGGGGGAGGCGCACGAGGGGCGCGGAGAGGGGGCCAGAGGAGGGCCCCAGGGGGGGGAAGGAGAGCCACCCCAGGAGGCACAGGAGAAGGCCACACTGGCCATCGCTCGGACGTCCATTCCTCGTGTATTTGTCGATTTCGTGCGTGTTTTTTTTCGCCAGATGATCAAGGATGGTCCTCGATGGCCGTCGCCGAGGAAAAAATGCACACGTCCGAGCGATGCCAAGCCACGAGAGGCAACGCGACAGTAATGCAGCGCTGCGGCCGCGCCGCGCCTCGGCACCGTGGCAGTGTCTTGCAGACGGCCCCACGGTGGTTATGCCGAGCCTGTTCGAGAGAGGTCGAGCCATCCTGCAAACATGCCAATGCTACGCTGACGCGGTGGCGGAAGTGGATAGCTCCTCACCGTCGCACCACCAGACGCGTCGGGTAGGGCGGTCCGGGCATGTCTCCTGAGACCGCCTACCAGCTTATAACCCTCATACGGGATGATGCAAGGATGTCTTTCCGCCTGAATGACCCAACAGCTACGCGGGTAGAGGTAGTTCTCGCATGACCAATCCGCACAGATTACAACCTTCAAAGTCGAAGCTTCCAGGGACAGGTGGCTTTCACAACTTGGCAGGTGCCTTTCGAAATATGACTCTCGCCAACAAAAAAGCCAGACAATTTAAGATCATAATGCGTTCCTGTTCTAACTGGTCCACGGATGAATGACAGCTCAATGCTTCGTCGTGAAACGTCCTCGCATGACATTGCCATACGTGTTCCGAGGTCTCACCACCTACATGGATAGAGGGCGCCTTATTATCAAGTTTTGGCTCTCGACTGAAAGTTCTTCGCGCTTCATTGACACAAAGCCGAACACGTCCAGTAGCTGCTCGGGTGGATGAAGGGCGACTCCTCTACCCTTTCGAAGCCACGCTCTCTCGTAACTGCATCACATGCAGGGAAGTTCCTCCAAAAGAGCTGCGATGTGTGACGGTGTGTGGTCGAATCCGAACCTGGCCGCCCGTGTGCACTTCAAAGTCGGCCGGGCCCTCGCAGTGTGGGCACGCGGGGCCCTCCCCCTCCGGCGGGCGGTCGCCGTGGCAGAAGTCCGCCGGCCCAGCGGGCCACAACGGAGTGGCAACTCCTGGAGGCGGGTGAACTGGGGTGGCGTGGCTGGTCTGTTGTTTTTCCAGTCCGCGCGCGCGAGGGCGCCCCTACTGGGAGGGGGTTCCGCGGACCCAGCTGGTGCCCAAGTCGCCCCCCAAAGCGGGCGAGACCACTCCAAGGAGCGCCCGAAGAGCGTGGACCCATGGGTATCAGGCCTCACGCTGGCCCCAAGATGGCCCCAACGTGAGCCCAAGATGCTGCCAAGATGGCCCCGAGATGGCCCCGAGATGGTCCAAGCTAGCCAAACGGACACCAAGACGGCCCAAATGGCCGAACGCTGATTTCATCGGAGGCTCCCACGATGGCAAAACTCGTGATAACATGCTTGTTGTTTTGTATTTCTCGCATCTGCGGCCCCAACGGGCTTCTGGGGCCCAGAGGTGGCCCCGAGACTCTTGGAGCCACCTCGGGGCCCCAAGAGCCCCCCAAGAGTCCCCTCGGGGTATTGGGGCCCTCTTGGGCCAAGAGGGCCCCAAGAGAGCCCCAAGAGGGCCACAATACCCTCCAAGAGGTCCTTTATGTTGCCAAGAGAACCTCAGGGGGGCTCAAGGGCAGTGCAAGAGTGTGGGCAAATCGGCGCCAGGCCCCAAGATAGAGATGGCATCACGACGCCCCAAGATGGTGCGATGATGGCTCAATATGGCCCAAGATAACAGCCCTAGGCAGCCCAATGGACTGCAAAGACTCCTCACGATGGCTGAAGATGTGCCCCTCGGAGATCCCCAGGACAGGCCCAAATGATCGACAAGCCATGCGTCCTGCTGTTTTGGGCCATCTCGCCCTGGCGGTCTCCAATCGATGCTCGGACCCCACGAGGTGGCCCCAAGAGAGCCCCAAACGAGACCTGAAACGACCCCACGACCCTGCAAGAGAGCCTACACATGCACAAAGACGCCCGAAGGGACCCTCCAAACGGCACCGAAGAGCGCGGGCAAGGGTGACGAGTAATATTATGACCCCAGGGTTGGCCCCGAAGGCCTCGGTATGGCGCCACAGTGGCCCAAGCTGGTCTAAGACAACATGGCTCAAGATGGCCGTCGAACCTTTCCCCGAACGCTCAGGAGTAACCATAACCATTTGACAAAACCAATGATACTGATGATCATGGAGTTCTCGCCCTTGCGGGCGGGTGTCCATAGCCCCGATGTGACCCCAAGAAGCCTCCAAGGATGCCCAGAAGAGTCCTGAGAGGGCCCCCAGATAGCCAATCCCAGAAGAGAGCCCAAGAGGGAGCCAAGAGGGCACCAAGAGAAACACACAGCGGCCCAAGAGCTTGGGATCACTGGGCAGCAAGACCCAAACGCCTCCGAAAACCACCTAGGAACCGCCAGGGGCCTTCGAAAAACGCTGAGCACACCACGCCGCCGCCGACGACGACGACGGCGACGAAGGCGGCGGCGGCGACGGCGGCGGAGATGGCGGCGACGGCGACGACGACGACGACGACGGCGGCGGCAGCGACGGCGACAGCGACGGCGCTGGCAGGACGACGAAGGCGGAACGACGGCGCCGACGGTCGGCGGCGGCGACGGCGGAGGCCGTCGCGGCGGCGGCGCGGCGAGCCGTCCTCGGCGCGTCTCGCCACCCCCGCCGCGAGAACGCGGCACCCCGCGACGAGCTCCTCGAGCGCGGCCTCGGCCTGGGCGCGCCCCGCGGGGGCACCGATCGTCGGGGCCGCCGTCGTCGTCGTCGTCGTCGTCGTCGTCGTCGTCGTCGTCGTCGTCGTCGTCGTCGTCGTCGTCGTCGCTGGCGGCCTCGTCGTCGTCGTCGTTGTCGTCGTCATCGTCGTCGTCGTCGTCGCTGGCGGCCTCGTCGTCGTCGTCGTCGGCGGCGTCGTCGTCGTCGGCGTCGTCGTCGTCGTGGTCGTCGTCGTCGTCGTAGTGGTTGGAGACGTCGTCGTCGTCGTCGTCGCTGGCGACGTTGTCGTTGTCGGCATCGGCGACGGCGGCGGCTGCGGCGGCTTCGACGAGGACGGCGGCGGAGTCAATGATGGCGGCGGCGACGACTCCTCTTTCTCTTCTACCTTTGGGCCCTAGGGGAGGGTCCCCCTCGTGCGCGACGGCTGGATCCGCCTCAAAATCATGGTCAGATGCCTTGCAGGAAAAATGAGGAAGGCGCGGGACGACAACGACGACGACGACGGCGACGACGACGACCACGAGAAAGACGACCACCAAAGCGACAACGGGGACGACCAGGACGACGAGGACTACGCCGGGCCGAACATGAGGAGGAGGAGGAGGAGGAGGAGGAGGAGGAAGAGGAGGAAGAGTAGGAGGGCATGGAGGAGGAGGAGGAGACGAGCGTGCCAGCAGAACAGGGTGCCACCTCACGAGCCCGCCTCAGGCGGAGAGCACATGCGGACCGACCGCAGTGCCGCCCGAGCAGTTGGGTTCCACTGCTGTGGGGGTGCAGGACTGCGCGAACGAAAACCTGAGGAACCCTTCTACAAATCCCACCAGCCCTCTGGGCGCAAGTGGTTTAGAGAGCCCGTTCTGTTCCACCCCCTGCTTCCCTTCGGGGAGGCGTTTACCCCTCCCCCTGCCTCCTCCCCCTGGGCCTGGAGGGGGGGGGGCGCGGGTGGTTGGAGCGTCTGTGTGGGCCTAAGATGGCGCTAGGACAGCCCAAGAGAGCTCAAGATGACCTCCAAGATCGCTCAAGATAGCCCTCGATGGCTCAATATAGCTCCTAACAAGCCTACACGAGGCTCCAAGACCGCCCCAAGACGGCTCCGAGTGGCCGTGGAACCTCCCAAGGACGTCCCCGAGTGGCCAAAATCCTACAAAAACCTGAGGACAATCAACGCTGTTTGCCTTCCCGCCTTTTCGCTCTCAAGTGGCTCTTGAGGCTTCAAGATGGCCCCAGGATGACCCAACAGAGCCCCAAGACGGGCCCCAGAGAGGCCCAAGACGGGCCCACGAGCGCCCAAGAGCGGCCCGAGAGGGCCCCAAGAGGCGACTTTTCGGCATCCGAAGGGGGAGCGCAATTGACGCCGCGCTCCTTTTTGAGCCGTGGCCTCCAAATTGGTCCCAAGAGACCTCCCAGAGCCTCCCAAACAGCCCCAAGAGGGCCCCAAGACCCCAAAAACTAGTCTGGCGAAGGACCGAACCATATGCAGTTGCGAGCACCATCGTTGCATGCAGCGCATTCGGAGGAGCTCCCTCTAGGGCCACGAAGCGTGTGAGGGGTTTGCCAACATGTGACTGGTGGGCGCATGCGAAAGCAGCCATTGGTGCCTTCGGTGGAGCTCCCTATGGGGCCACGAAACGTGTGAGGGGTGTGCCGAAGTGGGTGTGCGTAACGCATGCAGGCGGTGGCACTGGGGCCTTCGGTGGAGCTCCCTATGGGGCCACGGAACGTGTGAGGAGTGTGCCGAAATTGGCGTGCGTAACGCATGCGGGCGGTGGCACACTGGGGCCTTTAGTGGAGCTCTCTATGGTGCCACGAAGCGTGGGAGGGGTGTGCCGAAGTGGGTGTGCGTAACGCATGCGGCCCGTGGCTCTGGGGCCTTCGGTGGAGCTCGCTACGGGGCCACGAAAAGCGGGAGGGGTGTGCCGAAGTGGGTGTGCCTGACGTATGCGGGCGGTGCCACTGGGGCCCGGTGGAGCTCTTCATGGGGCAACGAACCGTGTTAGAAGTGTGCCGAAGTGGGTGTGGCATGCGGGCGGTGGCACCGTGGCTTTCGGTGGAGCTCCCTATGGGGCCACGAAGCGTGTGAGGGGTGTGGGGGACGCATGTGGACGGTGGCGCTGGGGCCTTTGGTGGAACTCCCTATGGAACCACAGAACGTGTGAGGGGTGTGCCGAAATGGGTGCGGGGGACGCATGTGGACGGTGGCACTGGGGCCTTTGGTGGAGCTCCCTATGGAGCCACGAAACGTGTGAGGGGTGTGCCGAAATGGGTGCGGGGGACGCATGTGAACGGTGGCGCGGGGGCCTTCGGTGGAGCTCCCTATGGGGCCACAGAACGTGTGAGGGGTGTGCCGAAATGGGTGCGGGGGGGCCGCATGTGGACGGTGGTAGTGGGGCCTTCGGTGGAGTACATATGGGGCCACAAAATGTGTGAGGGGTGTGCCGAAATGGGTGTGGGGGGAAACGCATGTGAACGGTGGCACTGGGGCCTTCGGTGGAGCTCCCTATGGGGCCACAGAACGCGTGAGAGGTGTGCCGAAATTTGTGTGGGAGGCGCATGTGGACGGTGGCGCGGGGGCCCTCGGTGGAGTACATATGGGGCCACGAAACGTGTGAAGGGTGTGCCGAAATGGGTGCGGGGGACGCATGTGGACGTTGGCACTGGGGCCTTCGGTGGAGCTCCCCATTGGGCCACGAAGCGTGTGAGGGGTGTGCCGAAATGGGTGCGGGGGACGCAGGTGGACGGCAGCACTGGGGCCTTCAGTGGAGCTCCCTATGGGGCCACGAAACGCTGTACTGGGTGGGTGAAACGCAGGAAGGAGGGAGGAGGGGAAGGAGGCAGGGGGGAGGAGGAAGGAGAACGCGGGGACCGTCTCTTCAAAACGAGGACCCAACACCACAGGATGGTTAGGACAAACCCCGAGGGTGCCCCAAGAGGCACCACGAGGACCCCAAAATAATCCAAAGACCTGCAACATAGCCCCCAGGAGGTGGGCGGAAGAGGAAGAGATATGCGAGAGCAGGAGGAGACACGCCCGAAAGTCACGACCATCGGTGTGCGTCGCAAAAGGTGCTGTTTTGGGATGGGCTGGCGTGGTGGGGATACTTTTTTGGTTCGCGGCTCCAAGGAGACGTCCAGGGAGCGGGCTTCACGCCTGGGGCACAGAGCGAGATAATTGGCCGCAGAGGCACGTAGGCCGCTGAGGCGAGTGCACATGCCAGGGACAAAATGACCCTCTTTGGGGGTGACCGGCGCACTCATCCTAGCGGGTGGGGACGCAAGCGCGGCACCGGCGGCGGACGGGAAGGAGAAGTCGCCCTACGGCGCCAAGCTCCAGCCGAACCACACATCAAGAAGAGGGGCAAGGAGCACGGACCGTACTGTAGCAGCACGGTGAAGTCGCCCTGTCGGCGCCAAGCTCCGGCCGAGACACACGGAAGCGAGGCTAGAGGAAAGCGGGAGAGTCGCTGCGGACGCCAGACGGGCACCCAACGACAGAAGCGTGAACAATTTGAAGGACCCGCTTTGATCAACTTTGCAAACACGACAAGGACGAACCGGGCGACGACAAGTGCTCCCCTGCGCAGAGACCTGGCCTAATGACATAGCCATGAGTCAACACGCCGTCCTAATAGCTAAGTCGAGGTACCGTACATAGTCTGGGGCGCGAGCCCTGCGCGACACGCCCCCACTGGCACGGCCGGAGGAGCGCTATCATTTTTGTTTCCCCCTACCTAGGCTCTGCCCATCTTAGCTTATTTCATCTTAGCTTAGCTTAGCTTCATCTTAGCTCAGGTTGATCTTAGCTTAGCTTACCTTCATCTTAGCTTCGCCGAGCTTTAGCATAGCAGAGCACTGCATAGCATAGCAGAGCGTAGCATTGCATAGCGCAGCACATCATATCATAGCATAGCCCAGCATAGCATAGCATAGCGCAGCATAACATAGCATAGCATAACATATATTAGCATAGCACAGCGCAACATGATATAGCATAGCTTAGCATAGCATAGCGCAGCATAGCACAGCATAACATGGGTGTCATTTCCTACCTAGGCTCTGCCTAGAGGGTTAGCTTAGCTTAGCTTAGCTTAGCTTAGCATAGCGCAGCGCTGAATTAGCATAGCATAGCATAACATAGCCAATCATAGCATAGCATTGCATAGCATAGCGCAGCATAGCATAGGATATCATAGCTTAACATAGCATAGCATATCATAGCTTAGCATAGCACAGCGCAGTATGACTTAGCATAGCTTAGCATAGCTAAGCATAACACAGCATAGCATAGCATAGCGCAGCATAGCATAGCATAGCATAGCATAGCATAGCGCAGCATAGCATGGCATGGCATAGCATGGCATAGCAACTAATGCTGCTTTCCTAGGGGCTCCAACTGCTAGGTAGGGTCGCACTGGGGTAATTCATTGGATCCTCTCTTCGCGACCCCAGTATGTGATCCCGAGAGTTCTGAAGGTACGCTTGGCGCCCGATCAGGTTAAAATGGGCACGAAACAGATAACTATGTCAAAAAAGAAGAGGAGCCTCGAAAGATACCTGTGCCAACTCCCGTCCACAACCAGCCTGCGCTATCAGCCTGGCCGTGGCCTGGAAATTGAGACAGCCCGGACTCGGTGGTCCAACCAACCCCTGCAGACGGCGGAGGACCCTGAGATCGTGGCGTCTCTTCGAGCCGGGCGCTTCGCCCAGTTTCGTGCCACAGGACCCTCACAGGTCGATCCGACCCGAAAAATGATGCAGAAAGAGGGGTCTGGGGATCTGGTCGCGATGTCTCTTGATGTTTCAATTGTTTCGCGCCGTCGGATCTCGGGGGGGGGGGAAGGAGGCAGAAGGAACGCGCGCACACGGCCAGCATGTCCCTCAGCCTGACACGCGCGGGAGCGACCCAGGGGAGCTAGATCCGCGGGCTGCCCGCCATCATCGCCAGGTCGTGCTGCCGGTGCCAGACGAGCTGCTCGGAGCCGGGGGGCACGGGACTCACGACCC